ACTGCTGATGGGAATGCCAACTGGTTCAGTCCTTCTGGAATACAGTATGGACGATTCTCAAGAAACTAGAAATTGAGATCTATTTGACCCAATACAACTTCCTGGGTTTCAGTTATACAATGATCAAGTAAATCCCTGTAATGTCATCTGTATTCTAAACTATTTCAATGAGAGGGGATAAATATAAAAGACAGCAATCTTACACATGGAAATGCCATGTCCACTTATTCAGTATTTCCTGAGCATCTACAACAAGTCAGAAATGAGAGACACTATGCTAACAAAAGAAATAGTGCTGGAAACCATTAGATGATGCAACTAAATACAACTGTCATGTTAGCAATTACAACCTTGAACAGACTAACTTAATACTACTCTAGACTACTTGCTTTCTAAACACTCTAGGCTTTCCCTACTACTGGACTCCTGCTCTGGCTGTTCTAGGTCAAAGTAATGTTTGTCCACTCATCAGTACATGTAGAACATTTTTAACATGCAGATTCTCTATCTGGCATGGATATCCTGGTCAAGTGCCGCCTCTTTACTTGCTATCCTTAGCATACTTTGAATTCCACACCCATTCTTACACTGAGTGACTCCCAATCTCTGACTCAGCTATCACCATCAGAACTAGAAAGATAGTACAGAAGTTAACACACTTGACTTACATGCAGATGACCCTACTTCAATCTCCACCACCACCACATGCAGCATCAAGAGTGATCCCTGAGCACAGAACCAGGAGTAAGCTCTGGGCACTACCAGGTGTAGTTCAAACACCCCACACCCAAAGAAACAGTAATAAATTTCTAGGTGTTCCATGAATCCCATTCTCATCTTCATGGGATCTCACCCCATGACCCTCGAAATACTATGCACACACTGACAACCCACAAGTGTGTATCTTTGCCTGAACCTTTCCCTAAAACACTTAGCTAATAGCCTAGGGAGATCACAATTCAGATTCAATCCTCTCCCCGGCCCCACCAAGTGCAGCACTGGATATGGTACTCGTGGTCCCGTTACTGCCTAGCACTGCATCATGCACTCGCATAGTTAATCTGGTTAGCCAAGCATCGCTGGGAGTGGTGTCCAGACCCTCCAAATGAAGCTTGGACAAAAAACAAAACAAAATCCCCCTGAAAAAAAATCCTAGCGAATAAATGTGCCTGACTAAAATTTCCACTTGACTAACAGGTACCTCAAAGAGCATATCCAAAATAAATTTCTGATTTAAATCTCCAAACCTACCTCCCACTGTCCCATAGTCTTCATCTCAATAAAATATACAACCTTTCATTCAGTTAACTCATGTCAAAAGGCTGGAGAGTTATTCCTTATTTCTCTTTCTCTCCCACTCCATATCTAATCCATAAAAAATTTCTCATTACCTTCTAAATAAATATGATCTTTTCCCCTCCTCCACCACTATACCTAATCCAAGCACCAAATTTCTATTCATTTTACTTTTGTGTGAAATGAGGGTATTAAGTCTGAATAGGGACTACAGTCAGTTGCTACCATGAGATAAACTGACAGGAAACTGAAACCAAAACAAGATGAAATTGAGCCAAGATCTTGCTGATTTCACATGAGCTGCTGAGTAAAGTCCTTAGTTGAAGTTTAACTCAAGATCTAAAGATCAGTCTGCTTTCAAAGCTAGTTTGCATCTGGCTTTCTGCCACTTGCTATGTACTGATGAATCCTAGTGGGCCCTTTCAAAAAGCAGAGCTCTTCCCTATTCCAGTGTGCATGGGCACTATTAGAAAGAATGAATGTGTTTTGGGAACAAACACACAGGACACTAAGATCACTGCCATTTGCCCACTGTCAGCAGGGCTTCACAATCACTGTAACCATAAGAAATGTACCATAGACAGATGGTCTATGGGTCTCCAATCTCAAGAAGAAAAACAAATCTACTTCATGAGATAGGCACCCCTTTCTTAAGTATCACAATTTAGAGCATATGCTTATAGCAGTGTTGACACTGACAGTTTTGATGCACAGTTACCACATCTCACCATCGAATGCCCAGCACAAGCTATCACTGTTCTTATTTTCCAGGCACTTCTTCACTCTCCCGGTACAGCCCCCACCTTGAGTGGTAATCTCAGTTCTGTAATCCTTAGCCCAAGATTTGTTATCATTTGACATGGCCTATTCCTGTTTTACTTCTCACTATAGCACAGATGAGTAAGATCAACTGGTACATGTCCTCTTTCTGACTCACTTAACACAATACAGTCCAGTTCCATACAAGTTACAGCAAACTGCAAGATTCCATCTTTTCTTACTGCTGCACAGTATTCCACTGCATATACAGGTGCCATTTTCTCCCCTTTCACGGTCACCGGACATTTCAGTTGCTTCCCTATTCTGGCTTCTGTAGTAAGTGGGGCAATAAACATAGGTGTATATGCATCCATTTCATATGGGGGGTGGGGGTGGGTCGGGTCCCTCAGCAGATATGCAATCTTAAAGGAACTGAGCATTCAAATATCCTAACTTTACCCAATAATAATTTTTGTCTTATTTTTTAACAGAGGCCACACCTGGCACACACTCTGGTTGGTGTGCTTAGTGGCCACCAGGACTGTATGCACTGTCCAGTTACCAGAGCCACACTAACATCTTAAGTGCCGTGGTTGGGGGAGACAGATGTCTTGCAGGGCAGTGAATGAAGGGTACTGTAAGTGCAATGCATGTTCTCTGTCACGGGAATATCTCCCTAGCCCAAGTAACCCATTTTTAACAAGCCATTCATGACTATCTAAATGTATCACTAAAATTCTATGCATAGCTTACACCAACTGGTAGTAAGCAGCGTCAATACTACCTGAAAACTCTTATTTGTGCTTATTTCTCCACACAACACTATCAAGATATGCCACTGATAGTTGAAATCTTACCTTCAATCATCTGTTTAACTTCTTCCTACATTGAAATCCCAAGCTTCACCAGCTTCCTAGCATAAGGACCTGGGCATGACACAATGGCACCTCCTATAGGGCTTCTGTGAATGGTTTACTTCCCGAATGAAGAGATGAAGTGGGGAAAATTCCCTCCAGACTCCAGTGCCTATGTGAGAATGTGATGTCTGGCCTGCAAAGAGCCATCTGTAACCTTAAGAAGGCAAACATAAGCACAAGTAAGCACACTGAGCATTTAGGGGATCCTCAGGAATATCCTTACGCATCTCAACCACCTAATCAGGAATCCTCCAAATCCAACTCCTTGTTATAAAATACTTATTTCTACTGGGATCTGAACCTGGGCCAAACTAATAAAAACTACATTCAGGATCTGACAACTGACAGAGAGTGAGCAAAGAACCAAGCTTTCAAGTCCAGATTGCTTAGAGGAAGGTGGTTAGAAAGAAAAATCAGGAGGAAGAGTTGACTTCCACACGTAGCAGAGCTAAGACAGATGCACATACTAAGCAGTGAAAGCAGGAAGCAGAGTTACAGAAGTAAGAAACATCCCTGTGAAGATGATCCTCTACATCATCAAGAGAGACATTCTCATCAGAGGAATCAACTGAAAAGCACGGCAACCCTTGGGGACACCTCCTTGGGATCCAGAGTATCTCCTCATTTTAGAGAGGATTCATTCACTGGCTAAGCAAATGAGGATAAGTCCATCAGAGGTATTGCGCCAGAAAAGGCAGCATGAGCTTCTCAAGGAGTTCACGACTTCTGGAAAAAGGCTAGGAGAAGGTGCTTATTTTATTTCTAGGAGAGAAGACTGAGAGAGCAGCAGAAAACACTTGGACACTTAAGTGTTAATGTCACAGAACATTGAACTGGGTCACTAAGTTTTAATAAACTTCAAAACCAGGCCTATTTGGTTCAAAAGTCAATGTTGCCCCCACTACACCTGGCCCTAGGGTGAAAGAAATGGGGTGGCACAGCAGGCCGAAATGGTCTCCCAGACCTGCACTACACACACCACTGCATCCAACGAGCCTGGGAGTGGCAGCAGTACATACACGGACTACAGAGGGGAGAAACTGAGGAGGGCACACTAACAGGAGACTGCAGTGAAGGAGCGGACGGATGATGGGGAGGAGGCTGCGCTGAAACGAAGGGAAGGACAGGTCCTTTGCAGCAGGAGTAAAGTGGGTATGAGACTGAGACAGAAACGAGGGAAGCAGAGGAAAAACACCTCAGACAGCTGAGATCTTCATCAGCAATAAATCAAGCTATTTGCTATAAAAACCCACGAGACAAAAAGAAACATGATGAAAGCTCGGGGCTGAGGCACAGTGGCCCCCACTCTGCATACACCTGACCTGTGTGCGGGCGACCAGACCTGCACAGCCTGGGCAGGTGGGGCGAGACAGGAGCGGCGGCGGAAGGAGCCTGACCATGCTCCAGAGAAGAAAGCAATGGGGCTGCTCGGAGCAAAGGCTGACTTACAGGAGCAGCCCCGCTACACGGGAAGGAAATAAAGTCGGAAGCAGGCTAACGGTGGGCCGGCCACACAGACAGGGAGGGTTCCAAGAGGTGACAGGAGGGAGCGCGGGCTCCGTGAGCGTGGGAGCCCCGACCCGGCCGCCTCGGGAATCCCCATGCCAGCTGCAGCTCTGCCAGCGGCGGTGCCAGGCCCCGACCCTTCCATCCCCCTGCCAGAATGACAAGTCGTTCTGACCCCAGGCTCCTGGTCGCAGGAAAACGAAGGCTAGCGACGAATACGCCCCACCGAGGACGGGACCAACAGGCAAACGGCTCCCTTTCAAAACACTCAAAATTCCACCTCTAGATTTTAAAACCTGCACTGGAAGGTCTGAAACCTCCAGCAAAGGGAGAAACCGACTCAGTAGGCGGAACAAACAGCAGACCAAACCACCGGACGGCAAGAGCCGTGGACGGCGGGCCCCGCCGCCTCGTCCCCGCGCGCGCTGCTCCGGCCGGGCGAGGCGCCGGGTCCAGTCACGGCGGCCCGCGGGACAAAGCTCGGCCCGCCCCGCGCCGGCCCGCGCGGCCGCCCGCACTCACCTGCCGCGCTCGGCGCCGCCGCCGCGCCGGGAGCCCCGCCGGGCGCGCATAGGGCGCTCCCGGGCCCGCGAGGCGACGCCGCGCCGCTCACCGGCGGCCGACGACGCGCCCCGGGAAGCGCCTTGGCCCGCGCCGGCCGCCGCTCGGGTCCGACCGACGCTTCCGGTGCGCCCGCCCCGCCCACCAGGCCGCCGCCATCTTGGGGCGGTGCCGCGCTCTGCGCCTGCGCGCCCCGTCCCGACGCGGCGTCCCGGACCGCCGGCGTCCGGCCCCTCGCAACCCCCTCTCGTCTCTCGGGGCCGGCGCCCTGGTCCCCACACCCAGCTCTCGCCTCTCGGGGCCGGCTCCCGGGTCCTCGCACACGAGAGGCGCGGGGCGCGGGCGCGAAGCCTGGAAACAAGACGGGTGCGGGGCGGCCGGCGCCTCCCGCCCGCCCTCTCACGGCCTTCTCCACGGTCCCGTCAGTCGTGGGACCAAGGCTGCGCCCTGCCAGGATTCTCCCGCCGCTGTTAGCACTGGAAGCTCCGGAAAGGACAGATGGAAGCACCTCCTGTCTGCTGGGACCACTGAAGAGACGGCGTTCACCCGACAGCTCGTGACTTCGCGGGCCTAGAAACTGCTTGGAAATGGGCTTATTTTTGCTGGTTTGACCTCGTTCTGTTAGCAGCCGTCCTTAGATATTTCAGATACGGCTATTCAAGAATCTCAGTCATGTTGCTACTGCTGAGTAGGATCTCAACAAGGGGCTTTTGATTGAAAATGACTTTCAATAACTCTTTCCTTTTGAGCAGGAGCACAGCTCAAAAAAAGATTTTTAAAACATGGTAAAGAGGGATAATCTCAGCACAACATTCATGTATCCCAATGCCCATTTGCATTTTGGAACAAAAATCATTCAGGATCCTCTCCAGGATTACACATCGTTGTTCCTGCTTATCAGGGCATTTGCCTCAAGATATCTGAGGAGAACTTCTAGCAAGCTGGAAGCTGCCTGCCTTCACCCAGGGCCAATAGTTCTTAGATGAGTCAACTGAGGTTCATAGTTGAAGTAAACATACGCTTGTTGACTAAACCCAGTGAGGATGCGGGAGTATATGCCTGGAAAGATTCCCCCACTTTCTATCCCATTGGCGTGTAATTGCTCCTTGAAAATAAGATCTTTGATTTCAATGCTACTCTACCCCCTCTGGTAACTGTATTGTGGGTTGAATGTGTCCTCTTAAAAAGATACACTGAAATCCTGTCCATCTTCTGTTCTCTAGTACTAAAGAGTATGAACGTACTTGGGCCTGAGATCATTGCAGATGTTATTAGTTCAGTTAAATCATACTAGGGTAGAGTAGACCCCTATCTGATGGCACTATAAAGAAGCACTGGGAGAAAAGCATTTGATGTCAAAGTCAGACATCAGAGTTACTCAGTGACAACCAAGGAGTACCAATGATCACTGTCAATTCTCTGAAAGTTAGAAAGGCACAACAAGAATACTTCACAAATATGCATGACCAAAGAAACCCTGGTGAACCCCAAACACCCTGATTTCAGACTTAGAGCCTTCAGAAGATGTGAGATGTCGTGAGATGAGACATTTCAGCTGTTTGAAGCTACCAGTTTGTGCCATTTGGTTGCAGCAGCCTTGGAAATCAATGCATCATATATACATAAGTACATGATGGAGCTGAAATAGAGAAAAGAGAAGAACAGCAGAGTGGAGGTGTGAGCATATCCTAATGGGCAACAGGCCACTGGAAAGACCCAAGGCTGAGAAGCTTCCTCATCTGTGTAAGCAGGGACAAGGAGAGCTTCTCTGCCTCCTGACATCTGCAGTGACTAATAAGCTTTCTTCCATAGAGGTTGTCATCAAACCATCTGATAGATTCTGAGAAACAGTTTTGTAAACAATATGCTTTCTTTAGTGGGAAATGTGACAGTCTGGCTGAGAAGAAAGTCACTTCTATGTAAGAGTAGTAATGTGTGCCAAGTGCCAAGAGTGAATCTGATTTGGGATTGATGTTGAAAGGAGGGAAGAAAATTATGGACTGAATGAAAGGGAGTTTTCATGAAGGACTTTAGGAGAAAAGGAACATCTTAGAAGAATGCTGGATACCTGCAGAAGGTTAGGGTCAATTTTTGATGTGCAACCATGTGCTGATCCCAGAAAGCCCCGGCTGCAATCACTGGACACACATACCGAAATTAGAACCTCCAGTGCCTCTTGACCTAGACACTGGCAGTGGCCAATGCATCTCCTGAAATGATACACAACCATGGTTGATGCCACTACTCTCAACAGAAGGAAGGGTCACAATGAGAGACTCCATCCTCCTTTCAGTCTCAAGCCTGGGGGCAACTGATCAACACTTTAGCCCAATAGTATCCAATAGAAATACAATGCAAGCAACATAAAGAATCCCGAATTTTATAGTAGTAAAGGTAAAGGTAAAGGCCCTCCCGTTGATCGTCGATTTGCTCAAGCGGGCCCAGTAACGTCTCCATTGGAGACTTTGTTGTTACTGTGTTTGGCATATAGTAGTTACATTAAGAAAATAAGTAAAATTAATTTTCACCTGAAATTAATTTTCATCTTATTTTCAAGGAGAAATTACACGCCAATGGAATAGAAAGTGGGGGAGTCTTTCCAGGTGCAACAATAATCGGTATTCAGGGAATTAGCCATACTCTGGGTTCTTGCCCCAGCACGATGGACCTTAGAGTTTGGTGCTTAGAGCTTCCAGGAATGCAATCTAGACCTCTCACATGCAAAGCTTGTGCTATACCACTTTGGCACACCCCTGCTAATTCTTCATTTTAGTCATGCTTCCTATCTGAGAAACTTTAGTTGATTTGCATCTCTGGATCTTCCTTCTTGCCTTCAGAAATTGGAATGCCAATATTCTTGTCACAAACTTGCTTTGAAAAAGAAATGAAATGGTTTAGTGAAACTGCATAGCATTTGGAAACTATTTAATGCATTTAAATTATACTTATTCAATTACTTAAGTCAGAGTAAATATGAATATTTGCTTATAGATCTAGATAATAGCAGGAAGTTGAATTATTTTTTGAAAACCGCAATGAATGTTTTAGAGTAAAAGAATCAAAAATACATAATTTGTGGTTATTTTATTGAAGTCTTTGCTTTACAAGAGTGTGAGTATTTCTGTTCTTTAGGGGTAGAGTGTTAACACACTGCCACAGTGCAAGGTTATTTCATAGGACACATTCAGCCTACTTCCTCCAACCCTTGGTCATACCTAAGGGCAGATTTGCTTTGAATGTTCTCTATTACCTTGCTTTGTTTCTTTACATACCATAGGTACGTGAGATCATATGGTATTTATATTTCTTATTATGACTTTACTTAGCATGACCCCATCCAGATCTGCTCAAGTTGTAGCAGAAAAACATAATTTTATCTTTATTGGGTCCTGGTATGGCTCAGTGGTAAGTGTCTGCCCCCCTGCCTTGCAAGCTCGAGTCTCTGGATTTGATCTCTGTTGCACCTACAGTAGTCCCTGTGTGTCTACCTAGTGGTGCAACAGATCATGTGATCTCTGGCACACTGCAATCATACACAAGCACTACCACTAAGCCAGAAAGTACACCAGCACTACAATTTCAGCATGTGATGCCCAGTGATCACATGTGCCTACATGCCAAACACTGTGTCTGAGTGTCTAGCACCACAACAATCATGTGAGGGATCCTCAATTATGGCAACAACAATAACAGCAAAAAGGGGGAAGGGGAACTGGAAAATAAAATCTCTTCTTATAGGCAAGTAGAATTTCACTATATGCTTATATCACACTTTCTGTGTCCACTTATCTGTCCTTGGGCACTTATTTTGTTTTTAGGTCTTGACTTTTGTAAATAGTGTTGAAATGAATACAGGTATGCATATGAGTTTTTGTCTTCTTTGACAGAAATCACTAGAGCACAAAGTAGTTCTATTGTTAATATTTTGAGAGATCTTTATACTCTAAAAAAGTTTTTTTGAGAGGCAGAGATATAGCACAGAGTGCTTGCCTCACACATGGCTGAATATAGTTTCATTCCTGGCACATTGCCAGTGGTAGTGATTCCCTGGGACACAGAGCCAGGAGACATTGCCAGGTGTGGCCCCAAATCCTAAATAAATAAATAGATCACTGTACCACTGTCATCCTGTTGTTCATCGATTTGCTTGAGTGGGCATCAGTAATGTCTCCATTCATTCTAGCCCTGAGATTTTAGCAGCCACTCCTTACTCATCCTTCCCAATGGTGCTATATTAGAGGCTCTTTCAGGGTCAGGGGAATGAGACCGGTTATTGTTACTGTTTTTGGTATATCGAATATGCCACGGGGAGTTTGCCAGGCTCTGCTGTGAAATAAATAGATAAAATCAGGTAATATGAAACCTCTCAATTTTTTCTTTAGAATTGCTTTTGCCTATTTAGGGAGATTTGTGATTTAAAAAAAAAATTTAGTGATTTTTTTCTGTTCCCTTGAAGAATGCCATTGGGATTTTATAGGGATTGCATTCAGTCTGTATTTTCCCCCCCACAGGGATGGTCATTTTAACCATGTTAATATTTCCAATCTTCCAAGCATGTAATAGTTTCTCATTTCCTTTTGTCTTCAATTTTTTCTTTTTTCTAATTTTATTTTATCTATGTATTTTATTATTATTTTTAAATAGATTTATTTATTTTTTTAATTTTTATAATTTATTTATTTATTGAATCACTGTGGGAAAATTTACAAAGCTTTCAGGTTTAGGCCTCAGTCATGCAAATATCAAACACCTTTCCCTTTACCATTACTTATTTTTTACCACGAAGAACCCCAATAAAACCCCACCCCCACCCCTCCCAATGCCTGCGAGGCAGATGAATTCTAGTTGACACTCTATCTGCTTTGATTGGATTCATTGTTGCAATAAAAGATGCACCACTATTATTTAGAGTTTACCCCCTCCCCCCAAATCAGACATGCTGAGAAAGCATTGTGAAGTGATTCACTTTCTACAGCTGGGTTCAAGAATTAAATGTTAGTTTTGGATTTCTGCTATTTTGCTAATTAACCCTGGAAGTATTTCTACTGAGAGTCAGATAATTAAGAGATTGGTTTCTGTGCTCTGGAGTCGTGGCCGTGCTGGAGAGCCGCTCA